TGTTTTAAAAGAACTGGTTATTGTGTTAAGAAGAGATGAGGTGGGAGCTCAGTTTGGAGAATATTGTGGTGATCCGGGCAAGAGGTGGTGTGTGGGCACGAGGTGGTGTGTGGGCCAGGGGGCACCAGTGATGGGGGGAGACCTGGCCCAATTTTGGGTGTATCTCCAGGCAGAGCCAGTAGGACTTCAGATAGACTCTACAGGGGAGATGAGAGAGAGAGGGGTTAAAGATGACTCAGGTTTTTGGCCTGAGCACCTGGAAGGAAGGAGAGGCCATTGTCAGATGGGGAAGTTGTACATTGTGGGGAAAGGAGGGTTTTTTTGGCAGGGGGATTTCAGTTTTGGATAGACAAGGTTTGAGATGCCTATCAGATGCCCAGGTAGAGATATGCAACAGGCTGTTGGATACGTAAGTCTGGAGTTCAGGTGACAGAAATGGGGAGTTGTTGGCATGTAGATGATATTTAAAGCCAAGGTACTGGGTGAAATCTCCGGGGTAATCATTGCAGGTAACGGAGAGAGACCGGCTCCAAGGGTCGCCCTCTGGGGCCCCTCAGCACTGAGAGCTGGGGAGGGAGACCGAGAGGACAACCCGAGAGGCAGGTGGGAAAGCAGGTGCAGGTGCATCCTGGAAAGCAGGTGGACAGAGTGCAGCCGCCCGCAGTCACACACTAGTGCAGGACTGTGCCCGTGGCCGCGCACACAGCCTTGGTCCTGATGGGGAACTTGACTTTTGTTCTGCAACGGTTAAAACTGTCAGAACATGAAAAACTCTGATGGTTATAAATGTGTAGGGAAATAAATAGTAAAACTGATTTTTATTTAGTAATTCAAAACATAGGCAACATGGAGAGTTTAAAGTGCTCTATTTCTTTGTGAAAAACGTGTTAAGGGTCGTTGGAACAGTGCTTGCCTTCCAGTTGTCCTATAACTTACAGTGCAGAGCAAACATCTTTTTGATGCCTTGGCACACTGTCATATTCCTTTCTAAGCTTGGACCAACTTCCAACGATTTATTATTTTTGCTTTTAGCATTGTGAAATATGTCCTCGAGTTCCGTTAGTAACAGTGAAATATCTCAGAGTTCTTTTAATGTGACGTTTCTGGCTGGCGCCTGGGGTGTCTTCATCCCTTGCACTGCGATCACTTCCCTCATCTGTGTCAATAAACCTCCTTCCTGAGTCCCTTGGGCAGCGTATCGAGAGTCCAGGGAACGGCAGGGTGTCAGCAACAGGCAGCTCGCTCCTCTGCAAGTCCTTTGTGTGGGACTTGAATTTTACTTCTAGCTTTATCACCATTTGTTTCTTTGCCACACTGTTGGCCAATCCCCTCCGTCAGTTATCTGCTTTTGTACAATGTCACTTGGGTTTATCCCTGAGAGAAAAGGAGGCAGCGTATCTGCAGGCTTTGCTGTCTGTGTGTGACCTGAAAAACAGCCACCGGCCACCAGTCACTGACAGAAGTGATAGGATTGTTGCAGATCATGACGCATCTGTTATTCATGTTACGATTCTTGGACTGAAAACCTGACAGTGAATTTGCGCTTTCTGCAAATACTCACAGCTAATAAATTGCGGTAACTGACACTTGAACCATGTTGCCCAGGGCTGGGTCATTGAACCAAACAGTGGGAACTGAAATTCATCGGAACCGTGCAAAGCAGGGCTTGCCCGCACATCAAGGAAGACAGTGATTCCTCGTGTTGAATTGGGACTTGGCTGCATGTAGGGGGCGTTTGGGGACCTCAGCGAGGACTTCCACTGGAATGCGAGGTTTGGAAACCTGATGGGAGTGCATTTAAGAGAATGGGAGGAGAGGAATTTGAGCTTGGAAGTAAAGACAACTCTTTTTGAGGAAGTTTGGTGCCAAGGGGAACAGAGAAGTGGGGCAGGAGCCGGTAGGGGATGTGGGGTCGAGAAGAGTTTTTGTTTGTCTTAAAGCTGGAATAGAGAACAGCATGTTTATATGTAAATAGGAATAATCCCCCGAGGGGAAGGGAATGTGGACCAATGTGTGAGAGAGGATGGGGTCTGGCACTCGCGGAGGAGTTGGCTTGAGATGGGAGCATTGGTCGTCTATCTGGGGCAGAAGTTCTGAAACATTTTGGCCTCAGGACACCTTTACATTAAAACTCCCTAAGGACCTCAAAGATTCCGGTTTATGTGGTTTATAGCTATTGATATTTGCAGTATTAGAAATGACAGCTGAGACATTTAAAAATATTTATTCATATTTTTAAGAAAAACCATTTCATGTTAATACAAATAACATAATTTCTGTGAAAAATAACTGTATATTCTCAAACCCAAAAGAGGTGGCACTGCTATACATCTTTGCAAATCTCTTTAACATCTGACTTTATTAATAGGAGGCAGCTGGACCTTCATCTGCCTCTGTAGTGCACCCGCTTCTCTGTCACTTGTCACATGTCCTTTGGAAAACTCTGCTGTGCATTTGTGAGAGAACAAGAGCGAAAAAGCAAGTAAAGATTTACTGTTATCATGAGAATAGCCTTGACCTCACATACTCCGGCAAGGACCTCGGGACCCCCCTGGGGGCCCGGATTACTCTTTGAAGCCCTGAGGTGTATGACAGGCAGGAAGGCAGGGTGTGTGGGTGCGGATGCAGGCAGGCAGGCAGGAGGCACGACTGAGGGTCCTTCTGACCGGCTCCCTGTTTTCAGCGTAGCAGCGCAGTGGGAGGAACGGGGACCGGGGAGACGTTGCAGGTTTCATGAGGGAGGAGTGTTCTGAAATACTCTATTCTATTGGCTATATAAATAAAAGAGACAAAATGAACGTAAAACGTAAAAGTAAAATAAGTACATAGCATTATTTCATCTGTACTCAGAAACAAACTGTCGATTAAAATTAATATTCACCATCAATTTTAAAAAGCATCCTGATTTCAAAGATGTAAAAAATGTGAAAAGAAAGTCTCGGATCTGGTGAAATACGGCTGCCGTCTAGGAGAGCCGGAGGCGAGCGGGCTGGGGCGCGTAGTGGGCGGCTGGGCCCCGTGAAAGTGAGATTCAGGGCATGCATTTAACTCAGGTACTTCTCCAGAGCTTTCCCCACGAATGTGCAAACACTGTCAGGAGAGCTTCTTGCTCCGGCGTACCACCAGTAGTAGAATGTTTCCCCCACTGACGGAGTCATGAGAAACAGATAGTACTGGGGCAGTTAGAGTAAGATACCAGTAAAAATAAAGAGAAATGCAAGCTCTGGGTTAAGAGATCCATGACTGTCTTCGTTTTGACCATCACTGTCCCTCTCTTCTCTCGTGGTGGGTCAGAAGGGCTGGTGAGGGGGGCGGCAATGAGAGAAGAGGCTTGAGGATGATACGAATCCGAGGTCACACCTTACACATCCTTCCACGTCTTTCCACGTCCTCTAGCCTTTCTGTCCTTGGCTCCTAACTCCTCCCTCTGGTACAGAACCCCACTCTAAGGAAATACAAGTCCTTTATTTGCCTAATCGTTGCTAAGAATAATGAAAGGGGTCCTGCGTACTTGTCGGGCCTGAGAACTTCCTATATCAAGTGTCAGTTCCAGGCCGATGAAATCTGAATTAGCCATTGTCTTTGAGCCAGAAAATTAAAGCAGAGCACAGATGCCTGGGGATTCACTTCATCCGAAGTCCTGTTCGGGCTTGGGTCCTCGTGGCAATACATTGCACTCAAGGAAACGAGCTTCTCACAGACGCCCCTGAGGGAGGAGCGGGACCGCACACACGTGCCTGGCTCCCGTGCATGTTGGGTCAGCATGTCCACTCGTGCTATTCGGCCTCTTAAGGACCCACCTCCTCTGC